AATCTTGATACATCTTCGCGGCGCCTGGATGAATAGAGTACCGGGAACTATAGGCCTCCTCTAAAATCAACTCTCGGAGTTCATCCACATTAGGAATACAAACTCGACCCTGCAATCTCAAAACTCCATCATCTCCTAAGGTAACATGCTTAGCACCCCAGTGCTGCACCATGTCTCTAAGGACACACAAATGGGGGTCATCATACTATCGATCTTGGATACGCTCTAATAAATAAGAACGAGCGACTGTGCAAGCTAACACATGGCTGGGCTCAGAAACATCCAACCTCACGAACTGATTGGCCAAAGCCTGAACATCCAAGGCAAGCGGTCTCTTACCGACCGGAATATAAGAAAGACTGCCCATACTGGTTGACTTCCTACTCAAAGCATCGGCCACCACATTGTCCTTTCCCAGATGGTATAAGATGGTGATATCATAGTCCTTTAATAGCTCCAACCACCTTCTCTGCCTCAAATTCAACTCCTTCTGCTTGAACAAGTATTGCAGACTCTTGTGATCCGTGAACACCTCACATGACACGCCATACAAATAATGCCTCTAAATCTTCAATGCGTGAACAATGGATGCTAACTCCAAATCATGGATCGGATAATTCTTCTCATGAATCTTCAACTAATACGAAACATAAGCAATGACCTTACCATCCTGCATCAACACCGCTCCAAGTCCAATACGAGATGCATCACAATAAACTGTATATGGCCCTGAACCTATGGGCAAAACCAACACCGGTGCCATAGTCAAAGCTGTATTAAGCTTCTGAAAGCTCGCCTCACACTCATCCGACCACCTGAACTAGGAACCCTTCTGGATCAACCTGGTCATCGGGGCGGCAATAGATGAAAACCCCTCCATAAACCGACGATAATAGCCTACCAACCCCAAAAAACTCCATATCTCTGTAGCTGATGCTGGTCTAGGCTAGTTCTTCGCTGCCTCTTCTTCGGATCAACCTAAATACCCTTTGCTGATATAACATGACCCAAGAATGCAACTGAACTCAACCAGAACTCACACTTTGAAAACTTGGCATACAACTGACTATCCCTCAAAATCTGAAGAACCACTCTAAAATGTTGCTCGTGTTCTTCCCGACTGCGGGAATAGATCAAAATATCATCAATAAAGACTATCACGAACGAATTCAAGTAAGGCCTGAACACTCGGTTCATCAAATCCATAAAAGCTTTTGGGGCATTTGTCAACCCGAATGACATCACCAAGAACTCATAATGCCCGTACCAAGTGCGAAAAGTTGTCTTAGGGACATCGGATGCCCTAATCCTCAACTGATGGTAGTCAGATCTCAAGTCAATCTTCGAAAAAACCTTGGCACCCTGAAGTTGGTCAAACAAATTGTCAATCCTCGACAATGGATACTTATTCTTGATTGTTGTAACCTTGTTCAACTGCCGGTAATCTATACACATTTGCATCGATCAATCCTTCTTCTGAAAAAACAACATCGGCGCACCCCAAGGCGAAACACTAGGTCTAATAAAACCTTTTTCAAGCAAGTCTTGCAACTTCTCCTTCAACTCTTTCAACTCAGGCGGGGCCTTACAATACGACGGGATCGAAATGGGCTGAGTGCCCGGAGCCAAATCAATGTAAAAGTCAATATCCCTGTCAGGTGGCATACCCGGCAGGTATGAAGGAAATACCTCAGGGAACTCACGAACAACAGGCATAAAATCAATAGAAGGAACCTCGACACTATAATCATGAACATTTGCCAAATAGGCCAAACACCCCTTCTCGACCATATGCCGAGCCTTCATATAAGAGATAACACTAGGGGTAGAATGACCAGGAGTCCCTCTCCACTCTGTACGAGGCAAACCCGACAAGGCTAAGGTCACAGTCTTGGCATGACAGTCCAAGATAGCGTGATAACCAGTCCATCCCCAATATGACATCAAAATCAACCATGTCCGGAAATAATAAATCCACACGAATCTCAAGACCCCCAATCACAACTATACGTGAACGATGGACTCGATCTACCACAATAGAATCACTCACCGGTGTAGACACATATACAGGAACACTCTAAGAATCACTAGGCATGATCAGATATGGTGCAAAATAATATGACACATAGGAGTATGTAGACCCTGGATCAAATAAAACTGAATCATCTCTGCTACAAACCAGAACAGTACCTGTGATAATTGCATCGGAAGCCTCAGCCTCAGGCCTGGATAGAAGAGCATAACATCGGGGCTGGGCCCCACCACCCTGGACTACATCTCTGGGATAGCTTGCAGTTGGCTGGCCTCCACCTCTAACGGCCTGAGCTCCACCTCTAACACCTCTACCTCCACCTCTAGCTCCACTACCCCCCTAGCTAGTTGGGCGGGCTGTGGAACACTCGGTGCCTAAACCATGGCATGGAAACCCGAATGCTGAGAGTTGTTCGATGCTTGAGGACAATATCTAGCAATGTGCCTCGTGCCGCCACAAGTAAAACAAACCCTCGGTTGTTGGGGCTGACGACTCTAAAAACTCTGAAGCGACAGTGTACTGATAGGAGCTAGTGGTGCACTATAGGACTGCTGATCAGAATACTGCATATGAGAACCACGGCCATCTGAAGCACCATGAGAAACCTGAAGTGCTGACTAAAAAGGCCTAGGAGGATGGCCTCTACCATACGAATCCCTGCTTGAATGACGAGGCGCCAATGAATCTGCTTGAATGACGAGGCCTCTTGTCGGACCCCTAACCACCTCCCTACAACAGAACTATCTCCACTCTCCTGGCCACATTGGCCGCCTCCTGAAAAGAAATCTCACTCCCTGTCTCCCTAGACATCTAAAGTCGAATCGGCTGAATAAGTCCCTCAATAAACCTCATCACCCTCTCTCTCTCTCTCTCTCTCTCTCTCTCTCTCTCTGTGTGTGGGAAGTATGATAAGAGCATGACGTGCCAAGTTGATGAATCTGGTCTCATACTGAGTAACGGTCATAGAACCCTGCTGGAGACGCTCAAACTGCCTCCGGTAGGCCTCTCTCTGAGTGTTGGGAGAAACTTCTCCAGAAATAGCTAAGTAAACTGCTTCTAAGTCAAAGCTGGTGATTCGGCTGGTCTAGCCAAGCAATAATCTCTCCACCAAGTCTTGGCGGATCCCGACAAGCGAAAAGTAGAAAAATCGACCCTATTGGTCTCCACGATCCCCATGTTCCTGAGAATCTCATGACAGCTGTCTAGATAATCTGCTCTCCATAAGGCCCACTAGACGGGACCAGAGCATCCTGGAGTACTAGGGTAGCAATAAACCCCTCTGGGACCTGAGCTGGGCCCACTAGAACTGTCTGGTCTGGAACCTCATCATCAAAGTCCACCTGAGGCTCCACCGCTGGTGCTGCTACTCTGGGCTGAGCTCTGCCCTACCTCGGCCTCGCCCTCTGCCCCTCATAGGAGTCGCTGCTGGGGGCTCGAGCTGCTGGTCAGTGGATGAGGAAGCGCGTGTTCTCGCCATCTACAAAAGAATAGAGTAGAAATTCGATTAGCATTGAGAAACCAAACCGAACGACGGGAAGGAATAAATGTGAAGTTTTTCCTAACTCTGTAGCCTCTAGGGATAAATACAGACGTCTCCGTACCGATCCCTCAGACTCTACTAAGCTTGTCTTTGAACTGTGAGACCCATGTAACCTAGAGCTCTGATATCAACTTGTCACGACCCGGATTTCCCACGTTCAGGAGTTGTGATGGCGCCTACTCGTGGAAGCTAGGCAAGCCGAATATTGCAAATTTATCTCCCTTTTTTTATTTAAACATATTAAACAATGTAAAATACTAAGTAGTTAAACAACGGAATAAGATTAAACAATCGAAAATGCGGAAGCCAAAACTTAATATATTCCAACCAAATACTGCTACATAAGTTGAAGTACAGTACTACCCAAAACTGGAGTCACAGCTTCACAGACAGTCTAAGAATACTACAAACAAAGTCTGAATGAATTACATAAGTCTATCTCTGAATAAGTAAAAACAAAAAGAGAAAAGATAGGAGGAGACGCCAAGGCCCGCGGACGTCTGCAGGACTACCTCGGATTGCCTGTGTGGACTGAAGACAGCACCCTCACGGCGGTCCAAGCGCTCCGGTATCAGTATCTGCACACAGCGCAGAGTGTAGTATCAGCACAACCGACCTCATGTGCTGGTAAGTGCGTAGCCTAACCTCGGCGAAGTAGTGACGAGGCTAGGACCAGACTACCAAATAAACCTGTGTAGTTAAATCATATACAACGGAAATAGAAGCCGATAATTACAACTAAGTTGGGTGGGAAAACATGTTGTGGGGAGTAACAGCCAACAGGTAACAACGGAACGACAATAGAGAAACATAAGGAATGTCATAAATCAATTACCAGCAAAATTAAGGAAATAGAAGAACAGGTACACACGTAATATCGTTGCAGGCGTGTAACCCAATCCCATTTCATATAATACTGTTGCAGGCGTGCAACCCGCTCCCATTTCTTATATTACCATTGCAGGCGTGCAATCCGCTCCCATATCACATATTACCGTTGCAGGCGTGCAACCCGCTCCCATTTCTTATATTACCATTGCAGGCGTGCAATCCGCTCCCATATCACATATTACCGTTGCAGGCGTGCAACCCGTTCTCATTTCATATATTACCGTTGCAGGCATGCAACCTGCTCCCATTTCACATATTACCGTTGCAGGCGTGCAACCCGCTCCCATTTCTTTTATCAACACCAATCATAAAAGGATCCCGGCAAGGGAACAATAATATCAAAACAAATATCCCGGCAAGGGAATAATAATATGACAATAACATTCCGACAAGGGAACAATAATGATAATAACATCCCGGCAAGGGAACAATTTTGATAATTTTTTCACTTTGTCATGTCAAATCTCTTAAACGACAACTATTTATAAATTACGATTAACCACTACAAAAAAAAATTGAAGAGAATTATAAACAGACCTGCATGGACTATGTGATCAACCCTTTTGGAAACAGAAGAGTGTAAAACAGGCAGAGCAACATCAACCCAAAGGAAGCAACAGTTGTACTTAGATTTAAACTTGAACACAGGATTCTCCACAAGTGCCTCAATGTAAGTATTAGATCCTCCAACAATTATAGGAATATGGCCAGAATTCAATACAAATTCTATGTGGTAAACAACTTGATAACAGAAATCCTCAGCCGTGAAGTCAGCTTCCGGATCAATTTCACCTAGGAAATAATATATAAAATTAAAGTTAATTAATATTGATCGTTTCGTGTAAATACTGAGGTGCATATAAGTATTTACCTAGCATATGGTGCGGTACGCCTTGTTTCTCAAGGTCTGTAATTTTGTTTGTAACAATATCAAGTCCCTTATACCCTTGCATTTTGTCGGAGTTGATGATTTCTCCTGGAAAATGAGTGGCGAGGTCAACTGAGAGACGAGATTTTCCAGTTCCAGTAGCTCCTATTATGAACACCACTTTCTTTTTGTTCAATCCGTTATTAATGAAGGTGTTCATCTTCTACAATTAAAAAATATACAAAATATAGATATTAGATTAAAACATTAGATAATCTAATTAAAACTAGTCATGCAAGGTAACAAATTCAAAATTTAAATACCATTAGTTCTAAGTTAAAATGCGAATTTAAAAAGAGAGTATATATTTAATTAATTATAATTATATTTATTTTTGACATATATAAGTATTTTTGAACAAGAATCAATGGTTTTTGTCGAACCCGCGATTTCTATATATCTATACTGTTCATGAGTCAACTTCAAATAAAGTGAAGCATGATAATTAGTAGTAGTATAATTTTTCTTGCATAAATGAAGAGAATACTATGGTAATGAAAAAAATGACGCATATAGTAGGACACTACATATTTACTGCATCAAAGTACATAAACAATTGATTTCATATAGAAAGAGAATTAATATATCTATTATCAAATACTATATAAGAGGTAGAAANATATATATATATATATATTGCTCGAATGTGGTAAAGAAAAGAAATTATATTCAGCTTTTTATACTAAGATGTGGGTGTGGACTAATTAATGCTTGAGATATTTTAGAATTTTCTAGATTTGAAGATTATTCCTTGAAAATGTGATACATGGTCATAACTGTTATAAATATATTATATTATGGATGTTCATTTAGTACTTCGTTGTAAATAAACTTCCTGAAGAAGCTTATCCATATGGAAGTCCACCGTAAATATGTTTATCTATTTAAGTACTCTATTGGAAATAAGCTTCCTGAAGAAGCTTATCACTTCGATACCCGGTTATAAATAAACATTAACCCCGGTAGAAGATTATCCATACCAGATATAATAAGCTTATCACTTCGGTACCCGGTTATGGATAAACATTACTCCCAGTAGAAGTTTATCCATACCGAGTATAATAAGCTTATCTTTTCAGCACTCGGGTATGGATAAACATTACCCCCGGTAGAAAATTATCCATACCGGATATAATAAGCTTATCCATTCAGTACTCCGTTATGGATAAATATTGCTCTCAGTAGAAGATTATCCATATCTGGTACAGCAGCA